ATCTCAGGGCATGTGTTACTGAATGTGAGATAAGCGGTTGTGTTGGACAAGATTGCTTTCCTCAATGCAATTCTTCATCCAATGGTGGTCCATGGTACATTCAAGAGCCTCTGTATTTACAATGGAAAAAGTGGGGTTGTCAAGGTGATTGCCGTTATCAATGTATGGTTAATAGAGAGAGAGAACGGGAGACTCTCGGTCAAGCCCCGGTCAAGTATCATGGTAAATGGCCCTTCAAGCGTGTCCTTGGAATTCAGGTCAGACAATTTCTTCCTTAAAGCCGCATCTTCAATCATTTCCATTTTTTTCTTTCCGAAAACTAGATGGAACATGCAGTTTGATTTACCTTGTTCATTGTTAGGAGCCTGCTTCTGTTGCTTTCTCTGTGCTCAACCTAGCAATGCATTTCCATGGTTGGCTTTCCTTTTTCATCACTCTGTACTATAAGTTGCCTGTGAAACAAGATAAGACTGCCTACTATGAATACGTCGGGTTGTGGCATATCTATGGTCTTCTCTCCATGAACTCTTGGTTCTGGAGTGCTGTTTTCCACAGCCGGTAATCACATCTACACAATATTTATCTTCCACAATCTATGTCATATATTGTATGATTTATTGGTAACCGTCTCTATGGTTCTCAGGGATGTTGACCTCACAGAGAGGTTGGACTACTCATCCGCAGTAGCCGTTCTCGGATTCTCACTCATCTTATCCATCTTAAGAACCTTTGATGTTCGGGTCGAGGCTTCAAGAGTCATGATATCCGCTCCAATACTAGCTTTCGTTACCACCCACATACTATACATTAACTTCTACAAACTCGACTATGGTACATAGCAAACTCTTCCCCCTATCGTCAATATGTTTTCTACACAGTCTCGGTGAATTCACCGTTTCTGAATGTTTCTTACAGGTTGGAACATGATTGTGTGTGTGGCCATGGGAGTCAGTCAACTTGTCCTATGGGCAAGATGGGCCGCCGTCTCGAGCCATCCTTCTAATTGGAAACTATGGGTGGTTGTGATTGTCGGAGGCTTAGCCATGCTTTTAGAGATATATGATTTTCCTCCATATGAAGGCTACTTCGATGCTCACTCGATATGGCATGCCGCTACAATTCCTCTTACCATTCTCTGGTGGAGCTTCATTAGGGACGATGCGGAGTTCAGAACTACCAGTCTCCTCAAGAAATCTAAGACAAAGGCAAAGTGAATCTATTTTTACCAAACTTCACAAGGTTTTTTATTCGATTTGCACGATTTCCACAAAAAGCACGAGCACTGGGGAAAAACAAAAGGTGGAAAAAAGATTCAAACATGAAGAAGAAGGCAGTCTTTTGTTTATAGCTAGCTGGTTTTGTGGGTTTCTTTAGTGACATATTCAGAGGTTTTTTTCTTCAGTTTTCAAACATTACCTGTGGAATTTGCTTTGAGCCTTCCACAGATTTGTCAATTGAGATTTTTGATATCATTTACTCATTCGTCGTACACAGACTCGTGCCAAAATCTTTTTGGTATCTGACTTTTGTCAATACTTTGACACAAATCTTGTGATCTATATGATTGTGTGTACAAAAAAATTGAATCTACAAAAGCAGTGAAAAACTCTCAAGTCCACCAGTTTTGAGTTTTCTCTTTCATTAATCAGCTATTAGTGACACGACCTGCATGGATCAGACATCTTATGAGAGATAGCCAAAAAACGTATGTGTGTGTGT